TTTTATAACATTTCTTGACTTCCTTTTCCTTTCCAAAAAGAAAGAAAGAAAGCTAAGATATTGTTTTTTCCGCTAAAACCCAAAGCCAATTATTTATTTTTTCTCCTCATCTTCTTTCATCTCCAAAAGAGATTACTCTATAAAAAGTAAGCTTTTTAACCACTTTAGAATTTTATAAAAGAAATACAATAGAGATACAATGAACAGTACCCTTTATTAATATAACATGGTTTAACTAGTAGTTATATCATTAGTTTATTTGGCTTAAGTTCAATAAAGTGATGATGAATACTAATAATGGTATTAATTGTGTTTTTTCATTTTTGTAATTATTTTTCTAAAAGCATTACATATCCTTCTACGTATCTTCTTGAGCAACCTTGGGCTTCATTTGAAAACACAAACTCCCGTTCACAATTCGGTGGGCACAGGGTGATGTTGGAACGATGTGGCATTCCGTTTTTGTCGAAACAAGAGTGTCTTTACTGCACTCCCCTACCACACTATGTTTTTTCTTATAGCATGCCTAATCATGTGCATGTTTCCTTAACTCACTCAAGAATTACCAAATCTTCAACAACTATGTATGCAAAAACCTTTCGGGAAACATCTTTTAAAAAGTTTTTTTTTAAATTCATATTAATTTATATATGATTTAATTTAAGAGATATTTTTCATGTTAATTTCTCTCAAAATATTTATTTATTTGGATATAACTTAATTTTCAATTCATCTAGAAATATTTTATCCTTTTGTTTCTTTTATCGAAAGTGTTTTTAAAAACATTACCAAAAGATAATAAGAAACACTAGATTCTTTCAAGGAGACTTTTAGGGAGAGAAAATCCAAAATTAAAGTTAGTTTATAAATAAATTAAACTCTGTTAGAATTTCCTATAGTGTTTAACCCTTAATCTAGACGGTCAAGACACTAATTAAACACTCTTATATCATTTAAGATACTTAAAAGGTAACGTTTAAGATTGAACAAAATTAACTAAATTATACTAAACTATAATTAATTGTATTATAATAAACTAAAAAACTTGTTAATATAATATCCAAACTGCATTGTTTTAGAGTTAAATTTTAAAAAATTGGACTTACATTATTCAAACATAAACATATTGTTAAAAAGCGGTGAGTAATGCTCTCAGTTTCAAAAAGCGGTATCTAAAAATAAGTATACTGGCATTCAAACATAAACATACTGTCAATTTAAAAAAGCCGTAAATAAAATATATAATTACAAACTTTAAATTGTGAAATTGAAAAAGATATTATTTTCAATATTATTTATTTTATATTTAAAATAATAAATGGTAAACTTTAAGATTATTATTTTACAAAACATAATAAAATGATATAGATTTGTTTTATATTTAAAATAATAAAATAAATAGTATTTGAAGAAAAATATCTACTTTATTTGTCTAATTTATTCATTATCTTAATTGGTGAATAATTAAGATTATAAAAAAAATTAATACGAAGCACAGTGAACTTTTAACAATTAAATTTAAGCATCAACTGAATTTGTTAAGTGAATTAACCTGTAATTTATATCCGAATTGAAACGGTAGTGTCTTGATTTTTATTAATATTGTTTGTAAATAATTATTTAAGTTCATAATCTTTCAATGCTTACAATAAGGTTATAAAATACGTAAGAGTATGGAAAATAATTATTTATGTAATAGTATGTTTAATCTTTCAATACAAAATTAAGTTACTAGTTAATTATTGATATAAGTTCAGTTTTTTAAAATTGAACTCTTAAACGTTTAAATATTATATTAAATAGTTCAATTTTTTTTAATTTATTAAAAATATAAATAATTATAGTTTAGTATCTTGTATCGTGTCAAGCTTTAGTAACTTTTAGCTTTTCTTATCTTTTATCTCAACGTTCTTTTAAATGTTCTTTTAAACTTTAAAATTAGATTTGCTATTTTCTTAACATTTAATGGTTTTAGTTTTAGTTTTAATATATAATATATGTTGAGAGATTTTATTGAGTTGTTAGATTTTCTTCTAAACTTTTAATTATAAATAGAAATAAAATATTTAAAAAAAAGACAACAATTATCATTTGTGCATTAATAAACATCAAAGACGTCAAACTAAGACCAACCTCCCATTGCATTTGTTAATGCATAAACGTTGAATTCTGCCCAATTTTAATATAATGATGAAATGGGTCCTAATTGGACTTTGGTGTGACTTAACAACCGTTGTTATGGGACGTCGGTTGAATTAAAGGCCAACGTCTTTGAACATCAAATTCTAACTTCAATGTGAATTTAATATCACTAGTTATATAACGTCGGAGTTCTCACATAAAAAATAAGTCAAAAATATTTGTGTTAGTGTCTTTTTCATACAAACAGTGGAGTGTTTTCCTTTTTCTTTTCATGGTTTTCCTCTAGATTTGATATCTTAATGGTTGAGATAGCATATTTGTATGGCATCGCAAAGCTAACTTGCCAGCACGAAAAGCTCATTTATGACGGCCACACACAAGAAATTTATACCAGAAAAGTAGTTAATACATCGTATTATGTCTGGTATATGTCATAAAATATTCAAACTAAACATGACATGTTCCCAAAATATATTGTGAGAAAGCTTATTACTATTCACAAAAAGCTTCCCCTTTAATATATTTTATGGCAAAGAGTCTTTTGAAGAGATCATTTTCATTATAATTTTGAATAAAGCATGATGCCCTAAAAGGACCGACTATCAGCATAACCGACCTCCAATTTTTAACTGTTGTACTATTTATTTTCATTTCATAATCAATAATAATCATTAATTGCCATCATCATCAAGCCTTGCTCACTAAGAAGTTACCATATTTATCATACTCATTATATCAACTTTTGGTAATGATCTTTCTTTTTGTTAATCGTTGACGAGGACCTTTAGCATGACATTCATTTTGTGATAAAAGTAAGCGCAAAAAGTTATCTCCAACCACAGAATAACCATTTTCCCTTTATTTTTCATGTGACAAGCATATGACTCATCTGAAAAAAAGCTCAAGATTCATCTTCCATGTTTTCATTGCTATATATATACATCTTCTGACCACAAGGCCTCATCCACCAAACTTGGTATATCTAATTGAAGATCACAGAAGAAGAGATCTAATTTAAGGTTAGATATCATGGCAGCCTTTCTTCAAGAGATGCTAATTGGATTTCCATTCTCTTCAGCAGCATACCTGGGTGATAAAAAATCACAACACAGATACTTACCTGATCCTGCTACCCAATACAACACATCTCACAACCCTCAAAACAGGTGAGATATTAATATAATCATTTATTATTGGTTCTTTATCAATTTCTTAGTTACAAAATGAAGAAAAAGTTTTTTAACTTGATACAAGCCTTCAATGAGGTGTATGATCATATTTAAAACAACTATTATTGTTAATTTTTCAGGTGAAGTAGTGTTCACATTCTTACAGGGTGAACAAGCTTGTGGAGAAAACCAAAACAGCTTTGCAACTGACTCAGAGAACTATGGTATGTTTTCTTTTATATCATATCCTTTTAATTCATGGAAGAGCTTAGTGGTGGGTGTGTGTGTGTGGTGTATATATTATCTTATATATTATATATATATATATATATACGATAGTTCACTCAATAAAGTTGAGTTTTATATAATCCGTTTTTGGTGATGTGCAGTGAAAACTTGGGGCCAAGAATAACTGATCACAGTAAAAGGAAAACTAAGCTTAGAACTAGAATTCTTCAATTTGGAGGAGTGGAAAAAGTGTTCCTATTGCAACTATTCAGTGTAAAAAATGGAGAGAAACTGCTAAAAGCATCTCAGTGTTACATATCAACCACATCTGGTCCTCTACAGACTGTTATTCAATATCCACTGATAAAGTTTGCCTTTTGCGTTGAGAGATCAATCAAGGCATATTCTTCCAATGGTCATTTGGATCAGAAATGCATTCACAGGTACACACCCAAATACACTACCACCCTGATAATATATGTTTCTCTTAATGTTTTCTAACATGAAATTTGAAAACTATATTTATGATTATGATTGCAGGTTTTGATCCCACTTGAAAAGATAAGGTGTGTTAACCAAAGTCATCATGTGAAGAAGCCTTCACAAAAGTACATAGAAATAGTTACAGTGGACAACTTCGACTTCTGGTTTTTGGGTTTCTTAAATTATCAGCAAGCTTTCAAATACCTGAGGCAGGCTATCTCTCAAGCGAGAAAATAGGAAGAGTAGAATTTTACTTTACTCTCTCTAATAGCCTCAAAAGAGCCAATACCAGTACAAAAACAGACTATTGTAACTAATCATGTTCCACAAAAAGTAAAATGTACACACACACACACTTTAGATACACTGATTAACCTGAATTTAATATTGAAAGATAAATTGAAAATTCACTATTCAGCTTGTGGAATAGTTAAGGGTTTGAGAATCATGCATGGAAATAAATAACTAATTTCTTAAAATTTTAATTAATTAATTAATATATTCCTAAAATATATTGGTCAATTGATCAACCACAATGGAAACTTGCTCATTAAGGTACACAACCTCTCTCTAAATTTCAAAAGCAACTCCTTTAAAAAAAACCATAGAGATTCAAAGATGACATGGATTTTTCTGTAGCATATTTTTCCCTAAAAGCAACCAATTAACCAGTCCACGTGGCTCTTATACCATCGTGAAGGTGCAATGCCAGTTGTTTCCATATATGATCACATTTGATGATGTAACCAAAGAAAAAGTGAAAATATTAATCTCTTTAAATACCTCTTCTGAATAGAGTCAAAATTACAGATTTTAGCCATGAACACCACACTTCTTGGAACTCCGCTCAGCGTAGCTATCTGTGATCAACTCAAAAACTCATTCAGCAGATACTACTTACCTGATCATCACCCTGCCAATGAATGCCGTTTGTCAACCACAACACCAAAGCAAAGTACATAAAACCTTCTTTTCTTAATTAACCCACATGTACAACGTTAAATTTTATCATGTGCAATGGTCTGATGAACATTATGTTTCAGGTAGAATATATTCTCTCATAAACAAGCTTGTTATTGGAAGGAAAGTTGATAGCTTTTCGCGAGAAGTACTTGAACACGGTGAGTAAAATTAAACATGCATGCACTTACAAGGTGGCAGAGGTTAATTACACAGTAGATTCTAGCTTTGAAGCATTTTGACATTTTGACATTGATTAACTTTCAGTGAGACTGGGGCCAACTATAAGTGAGACTGTTATGGGAAAGTTGAGTCTGGGTGCTGAAATTGTTCAGGTTGGTGGAGTGAAGAAAGTGTTCAACCATTTTTTCACTGTGAGAAATGGAGAGAAACTCTTGAAAGCTTCACAGTGCTATCTGTCAACCACATCAGGCCCTTTAGCAGGTCTTCTCTTCATTTCCACTGACAAGGTTTCCTTCTGCACTGAGAGATCAATCAAAGTATTTTCTAGTAAAGGCCACTCGTGCAGGCTCCGTTATAAGGTCATAAAACGATCATCTTTATTCTTAACACCTAACCTCTCTCTCTATATATTTCTCTTTATATCTCTCTTTTTGTTCTATCATATCTTTTATTTTTAGATGTCACTTTCACTTATCATTTTTCGACACGTAGCGATTAATAAATAAGAAAAATATATTTAATTTTTTTAGAAAGTTTCTGATGGATTTTTAGAAGAATATTATAGAAAATGTAAGGATTGACATTATTTTTACCCAAAATACCAAGACAATTACTCTAAGTTTTCCTCTTATATGATCTCAACTTTTTTTTTATTCCACGTTAAACTTTGAAGGGTTAAAATATATATTTTTTTCTTAAATTTGGAGAGTCGAAATCTCATTGACCTCAAGTTTTTGGTAGCTATAATTAAAGACATGATAAAGAAAAATAAATAAATAAATGTCTCAGTCTTTTCCTTGATAAATCGAAATATAGCATTGACATTATCTACATTCGAAAATGATTATGTCTTTTCACAGGTTTCGATTCCCCTGAAGAGGATTAAGTACATGAAGCCAAGTAGGAATGTTGAGAAGCCAACACAGAAGTATTTAGAGATTTTTACAGAAGACAATTTTGAGTTTTGGTTTCTGGGTTTCTTAAAATACCAGAAAACTATCAATTATCTTGAGAAGGCGATTTCTCAAGCTAAAGCAACCCATTGTGGCTGAAGAGCAAGGCTTACTTTGAATATGTCTTCATGACAAACATTGAAATATAAGAGAATGCAATAAGGAAGAACATAGCTTCATATGAGAGCCTAAATGCTGAAAGGAGAGGTGGTCACGCAGTGCAGAAGAGAGGATGCATGTATATATAGAGAATGAAATATATAAGTAATGAGAAGAATGAGTATAGTATATGCATAAATCATGTGGAAGTTAATGAAGCAAACTTCCCTAATTAAAGCTATATTTTGGTCTATTATAATTGGTAGATTACACCAAGTGTATTGTTGCACATGTATATGTCAATAATAATAAAGCAATACATGTATTAAAAAACAATATACATCGACATAACTATATATTTTTCTATTTAAAATTTTATTGTACAATTTAATTTAGTGATTTAATGGCCCAAAATGTCATGTAATAATACTTTTTTTGGAGATCATATTTGGTTCAAATCAGTCTTCTACATTGGTAAACGCACAAGGTTTTAACTTCGAAAATGATATTGCAATGTGGTCTTGTATTTTCCGTGGAGGATGACAAAATGAATTTTATAGTCATGTTAATGGATAATAATGTTTTTAATTGTTGGCTGAAATCACATCTTCAATGACAAGGTATCGAAATCCTCAATTTCATTCTTAATTCATGTTGTAATTATCACACAACGTCTTTTAGACGATTTACATTCGTATTAAGCATGTCTCGAGATATTAACATCTTTCATCACATATAGAGCTATCAAAACAGATAATTCGACTCAACTCGGTTCGGCTCATCATGGGTTGGTCACTTAGTGAGTTAACTCAACCCAATTCACTTATTAGTGAGTTAAAAAAATTCGAACATAATCTAACCTATCACGAGTTGGTGGGTTAAACGAGTTGACTCATTCAGTCACCTAATTATAAGTTTTTTTAAATTAAAAAAATTATAATTTTTTAATTCAAATCTAAATAAATTTCACTTTAAAATGATGTTAAACTCCAAAGACAATTTAAAATAAATAAAAAATATTATACAATCCAAGCGTAATCTAAATACAAGCACAAAAGGCGAACAAATAAGTTTTTCATATTTTTTGAACCACTTATCTATTTATAATATTAGAGTCTTGAATCGATAAATCTATAATATTTTTCTCTGTTGAAACATCTTTTTTTATTCCCATCTACAATATAATAAAAAAAGGCTAACTAATAATATTGAAACACAAAATAATAAATAATTAAATTAGGTGAGTTGGTGAGCTAATCCAACTCACCACGGGTTCAACCCAGTGAGCCGGGTTGAAAACTAACCCGCATAAAAAAATTACATTTTTTTCAAACCTAATCCATATATAAATCTCTTTCAAGTTTTCACCATTTTAATCTATGTGATACGATTAGTAGTGAACTTAGAATATCTAAACCTCTTATCAATGTAGGTATTTTACCTGTATATAAATTCATGTTCATCTCTAATTTTATCCGATGTGAGACTTTGTTTGTACCCAATATAAATTCCTAAACTAAGGGCACACTTTGAAAGGGGCACACTAGGGACACACCTTCCATTAACACTAAGGGCACACCTTCCACCTCCTCTTTCAACACTTACAGGACACACCTTCCACTCCAATCACTTCCAATCATTGTGATTGAATAGAACGTTGCTATTGTGGATAATTTAGAGAAGCAAAATTTGGTGTTAATGTTGTTGCTAGCACCTAAAATGAATGTTCTTATATGGACATTTTCTTCTCGTTTCCCACCCTTCTATGTACCATCTAGTCAAAATACCACTTGTGATTCATCACTCCACTCACATTCTTGATATCGTTCACCAAATTATTATTATCATCTACATCCCTATTATATTTCTTCA